AAATTTTAAGGATTTATATCCAATACAATGAACATTATAGGTTATCTGACGCAATCGCTTATTATTTGTAACGGTATTTTCCATGGGTGAAAAAATAGCAGGGAATGTCCGTCGGAACCACCTCCTCTATGAGTGTTGATCTATTGTTAATGAACAGTCTTATGTAAATTACGTTCTCCAACCCCGTATTATTCCTATATATGCGGGTTGGATCGTGATCTGCACATTCTTCGCTGATGGATTTCGCGGTTATAAATTAGTTAATAGCTAATTGCCAACGGAAAATGCCGTTAGCAATAACTAACGTTAAAATCATATAATCAATCATGCAAATTATTAAAATATAAACCACAATATTTCGAAAATAAATAACATTATTCGAATATAAAGATTTTAAGAAGATTGGTTGAATGTATAGCTACATCATTTCGAAAATAAATCAAAGAGTTATCTAATATCAGAGACTTAACATACCTCGCTGCAAATATAAATAACACTATTTCTAACTATAAATCCAAGTCTTACAATTAAAATAATACGATTAACAACACCAATCACAAAGTGTTCAAATATTGCTACGATTGACGATCAACGAAAGTCAAGTCTAGGTAACGTTTTCTTATATAGCCCTCAAAATGTCTAATAACATATTACTTAATTGTTAAATTGATTTCCTGATTTCTCATAAACATATAGAATAATATTACAGCTTCATATATTATTTTTAGGTAAGAGTAGGTTTTTAAAAACCAAAATAAGATGGTAATATGACAATCACTCATGTTCTTGATATTTGTCTATTTACAGGATATCGGCTTCGTTGTCATGACGCCAAAGACGGCTTCTTGTCAATTGTTTATGACGTCATTACGTACGGTAAACACCTGTCCACCAATTATACGATGTAAAAAGAAATTTGGTTAGCTAACATGTTCAAAAGCAATTATAAGTGCATTAATGCGGAATGAGATGGCATTTTAACACAGAGTCCAAGAAGATATCAAAGATTTTTTTTTTTTTAATCTGGAATCTGAAAAAGATCTGAAAACGGGCAATCATACGCACAGGCATTGATTTAATTTGGTCAATTCCATGAGCAAATGACATGGGCAAGATTTGATGGGTTCAAAGTCCAATTTAAGTAGAAAGGGAAATATTAACGGATAGAAAAATGAATTTTGGGAATTAATATCAATAATTACCTTATATTTAATATTTATATATATCAAACTCAATATTTTTTATTCTGGTAAAGAGTGATAACAACAATTCAGCAAAGGCACATTGAACAATTGCGACGCCACCTAGGGAAGTTGTTTCATAACCTGACTATTTCAGTACATCTTTAGATGATTTGATATACAAAAAAAGAAGTTGGAGGACAACGAAAGGTAATTCCACTCGTCATGGAAAGAAAGTACGGAAAAAACCCTCGTGATAATCCCGAAATACAGAAATAGCATTACGAGAGTTGATGTTTTTTCTGAACCTTCATGAAAGAGTGGGATTTTTTTTCTTCTAATATTACAAAATAATAAAAATGTATTTTGTCTAACGTTTTTCCTTAAGGTGTTAATAAGATGGAATAGAACAAACACCACACTATCAACACACGAGGTCAAAATATACCACAGCGTCAATAAACGAGGTTAAATATAACATAGCGCCATCACACAAGGTCAATATATAACACATCGCCAACACACAAGGTCAAAATATACCACAGCGTCAGCACATGAGGTCAAAATATACCACAGCGTCAACACACAAGGACAGAATATACCACAGCGTCAGCACATGAGGTCAAAATATACCACAGCGTCAACACATAAGTACAACATATACCACAGCATCAACACACAAGGATACAATATACCACAGCATCAACACACAAGTACAAAATATACCACAGCGTCATCACACAAGGATACAATATACCACAGCAACACAATATACACCAGCGCCAACACACGAGGGCAAAATATACCACAGCGTCAGCACATGAGGTCAAAATATACAACAGCGCCAACACACGAGGACAAAATATACCACAGCGTCAGCACATGAGGACAAAATATACCACAGCGTCAACACATGAGATCAAAATATACCACAGCGTCAGCACATGAGGTCAAAATATACCACAGCGCCAACACACGAGGAAAAAAAAAACCCACAGCGTCAGCACATGAGGTCAAAATATACCACAGCGCCAACACACGAGGGCAAAATATACCACAGCGTCAGCACATGAGGACAAAATATACAACAGCGCCAACACACGAGGAAAAAATATACCACAGCGTCAGCTCATGAGGTCAAAATATACCACAGCGCCAACACACGAGGGCAAAATATACCACAGCGTCAGCACATGAGGTCAAAATATACCAGAGCGTCAACACACAAGGAGATAATATACCACAGCAACACAATATACCACAGCGTCAACACACGATGACAAAATATATCACAGCACCAACACGATTTCAACAAACAATAACAGGAACAGGGGAGACAACAAAGGAAAGTGAGAGACATCGATGATGGGCATCCCTAACATACATGTACATGCCATAACAGCTAAGAAAATTGATTGACAGGTGTCATCCGCTTACAGCATGTATAACAGAAAAGTCTAGATGTCGCTAATGTGCTACTCAAAACCGGATGTGGTACATGTGTCTTGAATTACATATGGTGCAACTTTAGGTCGTTGTAAGGTAAGCAAATTGTGGACGCAGTTATAATTTGCATCCAAATCTATGATATTGTTTTGCTTGCCATCGATTACCGAAAGATATTAGGTAGCATGTGATATTTTTTGCATTCGATCTGTGTACAACATATTTTGTGAAAATTCTATTCGTAAACACTTCACTATTGGATGTGTTGATGAAGATGGTAAAACAATTCTTGTGTTGCTTCTCAAGAAAACTATTCGCCGGCTCTGTGACGGCCAGTAAAAGAAAAATCCCGTCTCTTTTTTTCTTCTTTTTCTGTCAACATTTCTGTAAGATCTTTTCCATCTTCTCTTTGATCATGTGTCGAATCGTAACTTATCTTGACTTTAAGAGGACCTAGCTTTAAAGCCCTTTGATATTCTTGAGGATTTTGTTTTCTTGGTTTCTAATGATCTATCTTTGTTCTTTTCGATTAGTAGTGAACTAATCTACGACTTGACAGAGAGCAGATGAAGAACGCCGTCTGATACTGTCGCTTTCTTGACAAATCTCAATCCCCTGGTACGACAGAAGACCTGTGCACGGATGACTGCTAGTGCAATCATTGATTTTCATGGCATGTTTCATTTAACAGATACAAAAATACAACCCTGAACCGACCGCAAGTCTTTAGTTATTCTATTACACTATAGAACGTGTATGCATAGGCACACAAGGACCTGGTGATTTGTTACGGCTATATTTGTACCTAAACTAAGTTGTTCAGAGTAATTTCACACGTTTTAGGGGTAAAGGTCTACCTTCATCCACTTCGGTTGATTTAAACCTCTAAAACGTGTAAAAATACTTAGCAATTCCTAGGGCCCTATACACCGACGTGTACAACAGCCTCGTGTCGGTACATTGTTTATGTACAGTAAATAGATGCACTAGAGCGGGGCTAATTGTATTCTTGAAATCACAAAAAGCTTATTGTTTTAAGAAAAGAATAATTAAAATGTTATTGAAAAGATTTTATGGACTAAATAAAGTTTGTTTTACCCTCAGCAGCAAAGACTGTTGCTCCCGGCTTCCTCTTGTGTTCACCGTAGCAATTGTTCAAAGCTTTCGGTTCTACAAACCTCGTGATGACCTCAAACGAGTTCAGTAACTGTTCGTTGTTTTAAAACCACATATTCTTTATATTGTCTTGCTCAATATGTTTCTATATATATATATATATATATATATGTGTGTGTGTGTGTGTGTGTGTGTGTGTGTTGATAGGACGCCAAACAAAACAAAATAAACCAATCTATATATGAACGTCAAACAATTGTAAACATAGAAAAATGTTAGAATCGATTGTATGTATTCACGTTGAAAACACTATAGCGTTATATTGATTATCCAATCATATTTATATTGTATCATTGATTTCAAGTAAACACCATTTAACCTGTTTCATAGTTTAGAATGTGCCAGTTAAATATAAATATCTTCAAACCAGCACAGCAACAAAGCTATTGTATAGTGACACGTTCAATGTTTTAGAGCATGATATGACGTTTACGACACTTTTGGTTAAATTTCAGGATCGCAATGTGACAAAGAAGTTTAAAGTAATGCCATTCATCAACTGGATGAAAGAAATCAGCGGTGTCAAGCCATAGACACCGCGAACTGTGTTCTGTTCGGAATCGATTCTGCCATAGACTTGTATGGTAGCGTTGTTGTGTACGGTGCTTTGTCAGAGTGGCAGAGAACTTTGTGATACAGCTATGTCAGAACTTATCTGACGAACGGAACGAAATTATTACAAAGTTCACGGAGCCAGGTATCGGAGTGTTTACGAGTTAGTGATAATGTCAAAAGGAGGGTTTCCATTGCACAGCTTATAAACGGAAAATTCATTACGAACGATTATTGACCAAATATAATCTATGAGTTGTTTGACATTGTTTTGTGTTAAAAACGTTAATGACAGCGCTTGTGTATATTTCACAATATCATATTTCACAGAAAAATTAAATAGGATAAGTTATTCCACTTATCCGGATCTATAGACCGACACTTCTACAGAGAGTTGAGTATATCGACCGTTTATGGATTAGTTGGCCCTATGCCGGACATATGTCGTAAAGGATATCGTAATCGCCGACTAGTGATATTAATCCAATTTTGCGACATACAAGGAGAGCAATTTCCGGCTATTTTCTCCATTATTGTTGAAGTTTACAAAGTGATTTCCTTGCTCTGAGAATTCACTTCCGGCTATTTTCGTATGTTTTCCTCCATTAATTCGAACCGTGTTGTTCAGGACAGGACTCTCAACCTCCCATATTTTCACAAAAGTTTACTTTATATGTGTTTTTTTCTTACGAAGAGATAAATTCCATGGATATAAGGAATACATTTTCAAACTGAATGTGCGGAAATTGCTATTCGAAATCACTACATAATGCATCAACAATGTAATTAGTAGTCAAAATGTAATTACTGTCAACGTAGTTTTCAAAAGCGGAATATTAATAATGTGGACTATTTCCCTCAATGAAGAGAAAACGAAAGTAATTACGAAGGGACGTTGAAACGTTTTTATCATTGAAATTATAAATATGATGGCTTTGTCAATGTAAAGTGTTGATTCCTACGGATTTATCTTACTGACATTGCGGACGAACGGACGGACGTATATCATGATTCTGTCCACTGTTGTAATATTGCTGGGGTTCCTGGCTGGTAAGTAGAATATATACACTGTCGCACATACATTTTGTAGAAAGTATCGTGTGTGTGTGTGAAACAATAACTCGCCTATAATGATAGTAATATTGCCTATATGTTTATCTTGACCTTTTGATGTTACATTAATACATCTATTTATGTACAGTGTATACCAAGATTAGGGCGGTGCGTAGGGAATTTTTACCCACCGGTTGAAAATACCCTCATTATTGATATTACTAATATTTACTAGGTAGTACGGTAAATACTACTGTTTCCTCTCTCTATTGTAACTACTAGTGGTAACTACCTCATACGTATGTTACTTAGATGTCTTGTTGACGGTACGTATACAATACCTAGGTTATGACTTTTCTGTAGTTTTTTCTATTCATGTTTCTAATGCTATTTAGGTAGAACGGTACGTATGCACCAGAGGTCATCATTTGAAATGCCTTCGCGAGGAGTCGAACCCATGGGACCTCTGGTTTACTAGTCTTGCGCTCTACCGAATGAGCTGTTCAAGAGGAGGCAGCTACTATTTTAACCAGGCCGACACTAATGTTGCATCTCTCTTTTATAAATATTCCATACCTAGCTATGCTACTGTTATTGTAACGTATACCATATACCAAGGTCAGGATGGTGCTTACCGATGTTTTCTCCCTCTGTTGTAAATGCCTTGACCTATAGGTCTGCGTTGTCTTCATATATATAATTATAGTGAATGTCTTGTTATTAACTCAAACACAAGCTGTGATAATTGACATCAGTCTGCAATTTATTATTGTGTTTAGTAAACTATTGTAGCTGATGGCGAACCCACCTTAACCTTAACCCAGATCACATACAACTCTGACCGGATACTGAGACGATCCCACAAAAATACGCTCGCGACCGGAAGTTATCAGAAATGCTAATTGTATCGATAACTTTCAGTCGATGACGTCAAGTTGAAAGTTCAATGATCACAAGAGGAAATGTTTAAGAATAAGAATTTTAACTTTGATGACAATCGAATAATAAGAAATGACATCTGCGAAGCGATGACAACAAAAGAAAATATTTATTGTCATGTTGACCTTGTTTTGACCCCGGAAGGTGAAGGTCAGAACAGAAACTCTGTCTGTGAAATTACACTTGAATTTCGACGGCAATCAGATAGTAATTAGAACCTGTAGAGCAGTGACACCAACATCCTTTTTATAATAACGATGACGTTGTTTTAAATTCCAGAAGGTGGAACCTTGGGAAAGGGCTTAGTAATTTGACTGTTTGATTTTAATAAAACATGTTTGAATGAATGAGATTGAACCATAAATTCTACCAAGATGTGTTGATCATGAATACACATATACGCGTTTATGAAGTTTCATGAAAATCGTAAGTGCATGAAGTCCGGAAAGTCAAAAGTAAAAAATCATGTATTTATCTATAATGTCAGAGCGTTGTGTGTCCATACACCTTAGTGGTCTCTGTACCACAGTAAACACACACCATAATAATAATAATAATATACAGCATTTATACAGCGCCCTATATAATTTGTAAAATTACCCTAAGGCGCTTTACAACATACGGATAATAGTAATGGTTACAATTGTGAAAACAAACAACAAAGGCTTGCAATCACTTTCATACATTTAACAAGCAATGTGCACATAAACATGACGTCTTTGCAAAGATTCTAAAATGCAGACATGAAGAGGTGAGTTTTTATGTCCCTCTTGAACTTGGCCAGGGTATTCGACTTCCTAATAGCAGATGGTAAGCTATTCCACAACGTAGCCGAAACCCTCCCAAAGCATCTGTTTCCGTAGGTCACAGTACGAGATTTTGGGACACACAACAAAGATTCTGACTCCGACCGCAGTGATCTTGACGGCTGATACAGGGTAACAAGTTCCTGTAGGTACTGAGGAGCTGTTCCATTCAGTGCCTTGTATGTGTATACCAGAATTTTGTACTGCGACCTGTATCGTACAGGTAACCAGTGCAACGAATAAAGCGCAGGTGTGATGTGCTCTCTCTTTCGAGTACGAGTAACTAGCCGTGCTGCAGTGTTCTGGACCCTCTGCAGACGACTAGTTAGTTTGTCAGATATACCACAGAGCAGGGCGTTACCATAATCCAACCGAGAGGTAACAAGTGAATGCACCAAAATCTTGCATGCATCTGCAGTTAGAAACTGCCGAATACAGCCGATGTTCCTGATCTGGTAGTAACAGGATTTGGCAATCGCGTTCACTTGTTTCTCCATGTTCAGAGAACTGTCAAAGTATACCCCTAGGTTTTTAACAGCTGGAACAGTCTCAATAGTTCTGGCACCAACCTTGAGCTGGAGAGCCATTGTTTGCTGACACTTTGGGGAAAAGACGATTAGTTCCGTCTTTTCCTGATTAAGTTTAAGCATGTTGGCGTTCATCCAGATACTGATATCCGTCAGACAAGCTTCCAGACTTTCTGAGACTGTATTCCAACTGTCCTGTGGTTTTATGACCATGTAAATTTGTGTGTCATCAGCATAGCAATGATAGCGAAGGCTATGGCGACGACAAATCTCTCCAATCGGTTTGGAGTACATACAATATTTTCGTGGTCCTAACACCGACCCCTGAGGAACCCCGAAATCTAGTACTTTGTCATGTGAGGTGGCAGATCTGATGGCAACACACTGTCGTCGTTCACTCAGGTATGACTGTATCCAGCATAGTGCGGTATCAGTCACTCCATTAGAGTAATCCAGACGTTTATAAAGTATGCCATGGTCGATGACGTCAAATGCACCATAGATCTAGAGTGTACGTCATTGTGATTGTTGATCGTCTGTTTTACACCTTTTATAATTTTTCATCGTGTAAACTCACAACGTTGCAGTTCGTAATGACTCACACAGTTATCTACAATACTACAGTGATTGACACGTGTAAGTATATTGTTCCTAACCTAACCCTGTGCATTTACGTAGTGATCTCGTAATGCTACACCACAACAGTCACTCGGAACACTTCTGGCTAAGTCATTACTATATTTGTACCTAAACTAAGTCAGCCTAGTATGTTCCGAATGAACAATTTTTACTCGAACGACGGAGTTAGGATAACGTTTTATTTTAATTCGATTTGAATGTATCCACAGTTACGACACTCGGATACGTATCCCCACCTCCGGGACCCTGTGGCGATGGCAATGGATACAGACTAAACAACTGGTGCTCTCCTTTCCCTACTTATGGCGGATTATTCATGATGAGGGACCGTGAGCCCCTCCCCCGCCTCCCCCACCCACCCACCCACCCACCTCTTCCAAATTCTGCCTACAGAATACAACCGATGTCCCCTTCCCGCCCTGAAGAAAAAGCACTGCTACACACACTAATTGTTTGAGAACCGAAAGTGGAAATGGAACATTGTTGTTCTTATGCATCAAGTTGAAAACAATAAAATACTTTGAGTTAAAGAATTTCTTCGAGACCAACGCATTTTATTGTCGTCAATATCTTAAAATCTTTCAGGAAAGTCATGCACAGCAGCCAAAGTGCTCTTGCCAGCGTAATTTCGTAAAGTTTCCCCAAGGAGTCTTAGAATGGTTTCAGATATCATAAGTTACCGAGCATGCTATGAAATGTCCTGATTGACCGAGCGGTTTCTATAAAACAATTATCAGGATCGTAAAAGCTAAGTTCTCTGAAATATAGTCCTCACGAACGCACCGACTCATCTAGTTAAGTCCACTTTCACTGGAAATTATATAGGAAAATACAATCCATCTTGCTGTCATTTTCGATAATGGAGTTTGTGGGGGCTGCAAAAGTAACGTCACTAAAATATTTAAGAGCCGATTACACCGCTACGTGATTCGGTATATGGACCTGTTTTAGTCCTAATGTAAAAATGTTAAAAGCAATATAAAAAAAAATATTTAAAAATTTGAGAACATAAAAAAGCAATAAGATGGTTGCAAAACATTTTCCGGGAGGCGAAATATCCAGTATCTGTGAACTTACACCCTATTAGGGTTTATAGTGTCGCTGTTTTGAGCGAGGTTCGAGTATCTTTGTTCTGGTTACCGATATGTTCCTATCAGTGAATTTTTGGATTTTATTTCGTGGTATTTACGTTCTGCTTCTGATTCAAGCGAGTGTTTAGATAAACATAATAAAAGGTAAATCACCCTTAATTATATTAGAAGGAAAATGCAACTTAGTTATGAAATAATATGAATTTGGAGAAGAAAAAAAATTCACATTGGAAAGGAATCCTGCAACATGACTCCACACTTCAGAAATGCCAACTACAATTATTATCCATAACTTATCTGCAAAACCTAGCAATACGCCACTATATGATTATTATAGCTTCAAACGTTTTGAAATAATAAAGTTTTTGCAAATATCAACTAAAAAATAAAAAGCTTTAAATTAGGAATCTTTTATCATCTCAACAGAGTTTAAAGTAATTACGACATTTCATCCAATCTTTCTGTGCTTACACAAAATATTCCGTGACAAAACTAAATCAAGTTTACAACTAGCAATGTAGTAACGTGCTATGGAACCTTTTAAGGCCGGACACTTCTCTATATACTGGAAACTCTTTCATTCCGGACACTTCAGTTTCTGTGAACAGTGAAAACACTTCATTCCGGACACTTCAGTTTCTGTGAACAGTGAAAACACTTCATATCGGACACTTCAGTTTCTTTGAACAGTGAAAACACTTCATTCCGGACACTTCAGTTTCTGTGAACAGTAAAAACACTTCATTCCGGACACTTCAGTTTCTGTGAACAGTAAAAACACTTCATTCCGGTCACTTCAGTTTCTGTGAACAGTGAAAACACTTCATTCCGGTCACTTCAGTTTCTGTAAACAGTGGAAACTCTTCATTCCGGTCACTTCAGTTTCTGTAAACAGTGGAAACACTTCTTTCCGGTCACTTCAGTTTCTGTTAACAGTGGAAACACTTCATTCCGGTCTCTTCAGTTTCTGTAAACAGTGGAAACACTTCATTCCG